TATATCCAACTCATTAGAATTAGATGTTCAAACCATTCCCGGAATACCCACAGATAAGCAATTTATTTACAATTTGCAAGCCCACTAGTAGCACGCCCAAGCCAGCCTCTGGGAAAAGCAGTACGTCATTTCCGGTCAGGAGTGTGATGACCAAGCAAGGGACTTTTCCAGGAAAGTTCCAGGATATATGGTATCCAGCCTCCCTCTCCCTCTTCTCCTTCTGGCTTTATATTTTATCCAGATGACAACCCACCAGGGAAACCCCAGACTTTACATTGTAAGCAGACACACTGAAGAGCTGCCTGGGTGAAAACACTAGAGATACTAGGGCAGTGTTCATTTTCTATTTTCCTGCCCTCCTCCTGCCCACACCCGTGGCTGCCTCATAGCCCATTCAGGGATCTCTAGGAATCCTAACCATTTACATCTCAGGGGTTGGGGGATGGGGCTTTCCAAGGGACCTTTTCTATAATTCTGATTTCCCAGGATCCAAAATTGATATGGGGAGTCCTATATGTTAGTGCCTGCCTGGTAAAATAAAAATTGGTACCTACGTTTTTTTTCTCATTGATTTTTAAAATCATTTTAATCATGTTTAAATGTACAGTTCAGTGGCATACGTTCACCTTGATTTGCAACCATCGGCATGACCCACCCACAGAATTTTTTCATCTTGCAAAATTGAAATTCTCTACTCATTAAACATCAACTTCCCATTCCCCTCTCCCCCAAGCCCCTGGCAACCACCCTTCTACTCTCTGTCTCTATGAATTTGACTACTCTAAGTAACTCACATAAGTGGAAACTTACAGTACTTATCCTATTTTATTTTATTTTATTTTATTTTATTGGCCATGAGGCTTGTGGGATTTTGGTTCCCTGACCAGGGATAGAACCCAGGGCCCTAGGCAGTGAGAGGGGGGAGTCCTAAACCCTGGACTGCCAGGGAATTTCCAGTACTTGTCCTTTTTTAACTGGCTTATTTCACTTAGCATAATGCCCTCAAGGTTCATCCACAATATAGCATGTGTCAGAATTTACTTCCTTTTTAAGGCTGAATAATATTCTATTGTATGGCTCTACCACATTTTGTTTATCCATTCATCCTTTGATGGATATTTGGGTTGTTTCCACCCTCTGGCTCTTGTGAATAATACTGCTGTGAGCATGGGTGTTCCTTTGTTGTCATTGAATGTTTTGATTGTGTAGCAAGATGCATTAAGATAGACTTCAATATTTCTTAACCTTCGATGATGGGAAACGGGAACAAATCGGGAAGCTCTCTGGATTATGTATACCTGCTTGATGTACTTTAACATCACTTCCACGGATCGGTCAGTAATCTCAATATTTTAGGTAGGATTTAAATATTTTGTCTAATCACATGAAGGCTCACTGATGAGTAAATTACTATAAAAAAACTTTTTAAAAAGTTAGAAGTTATTTTTTATTTTATTTTATTTTTTTGCGGTACGCGGGCCTCTCACTGTTGTGGCCTCTCCCATTGCGGAGCACACGCTCTGGATGAGCAGGCACAGCGGCCATGGCTCACGGGCCCAGCCGCTCTGTGGCATGTGGGATCTTCCCAGACCGGGGCACGAACCCGTGTCCCCTGCATCGGCTCTCAACCACTGCACCACCAGGGAAGCCCCAGAAGTTATTTTTTTAAGTGTAAAGAATGATAGTTTTTTTAAGTGTAAAAAATGATAGTTTTTCTGGAGAGCCAGGAAACTGGCATTTGGTGGCCCGAAGCCTGAAGAAGCAGATTGTAGTGAACAATATGTACACAGACGAGGAAAATAAAATGCTTTGAACTGGAAAAAAGTGTACTATGCATTTTTTTCCCAACAATTCCTACATAGTGGTTCTGGAGTAAATCTGAAAATATTATAAAACCTGCACAGGGCCTTCCCTGGCAGTCCAGTGGTTAAGAGTCTGCGCTTCCACTGCAGGGTGTGCAGGTTCAACCCCTGGTGGGGGAAACAAGATCCCGCATGCCATGCAGTGCGGCCAAGAAAACAAAACAATACAAAAAACCCCTAAAAATATGAACATTGTGTTAATATGTACAAATAGTAACTTGAAGTGTGCATATAATTTAAAACAATTTTTAAATTACATGTATTTTAGTTGTTGTTTTTTTAAACCCCACCTCCCATCTCTTTTAGTGGACATTTTTGTGGAGGCCACGTGGCAAATCTAATCCAGTGCAGTTCTCAAAGCTATCTGCTTCACTGATGGCATTCTCTCCTGTTTGAAAGCACTTCTGCATACTTAATTGGGTGTGTGTATGTGTGTATTTACTGGGATTTGGGAAGCAGGGGAGAGAGATCTTTCAGGGTTTATGATGCCATCTTGAAACCAAAAGTCAATTTTTTCTTAGATTAAGTCATTAAAATCTTGATATCATGGAAAAAAAGCTCTCCCTAAATTCTCTTTTAGAAGATATTTGTGTATCGGTCGTGCTCTCTTAAAAGAAGAACACTTTTCTTAAGCTAAGTATTTTCTTGGCAATGATCTCATTGCTCCAAATTTAACACTGGTTCACTATTCTCTTTTAATCCTAGTGACAAATACTGATGAGGAGATAATTTTTCATTCTGTGATTCCATGAACTCACCATTGGGTAGGATGTAGTTTTTTTGGGTTTTTTTTTTTGCAAAAAAATATTTGTTTGAAAGCAAAAAATGAGCCAATAGAAAGAACTGATGAAAGTCACACAATCTAATGTAGAATATGAGCATAATGTATTGTACTAACGTAAAATTTTCAAAACTTAAAAAACATGGTTCATGCAAACATAAAATGAAAACTTATCTAAGATTTTATTTAACCATTTCATGAGGGACTCAGCAAGATGTTGACTTCAAAGGAGAACTAGTAAGATAATAAGGTTTAAAGGAAAATGTGACGAACATATATGTATATATATTATATATATTTCAGTTAGGAATGATGAAATGAATTTGCTAATAGATGCAAAACTGGGTAACTGATTTATATAAGACAAAATCTAATTAGGTTTATCTTATTTTTTATCTGGCAGAAATCACCCATATCTCTACTGGAAAAATTAACTTGCATTGCTATGGACAAGAATCTTTTGCATTATCATCAACTTTCTGCAAGTTAACTTTACCCCTACAGAGTTACAAATAGCCTAGTCAACAGAAAGTCCATCAAAGGTGTACAACCCTCTAGAATCAATCTCCAGAAGGGCTACTACACAACACCCAGCACCCCACTGAAAAGACACCCAGTAATCTCTTTTGCCCATTTCCAAGTTTTGGATATTTTTCCCTGACATCACCAATTAAAAAAAATATATATATATATATATATACACTTATACACATATATACACAAATGTATTTAAATTTATTTTTCAGGGGAGCATGGCAGAGAAGGAGAGGTATAGTTTGGCTTAAAAATGTCTTGAATGTATTTTTTGTTGAAACAGTGACATGATTTCAAAGTTCATGGAGAGCGGAGCTTAACAAAGAAACTGTCTAAATAATAGGAGATAGTTTGCTCTACCTGCACTGTCCATCTCCTACTCCCCAAAGCAGGCTCTTATCTTTGCTGAGCAAAAAATAATTAGCAAGAAAGCCTGCTGCAAAAGGGCCTCGGAAGTGTATTTTTAACGACTTCTTTTTAAGGCTGCACAAGTTGAGCCCTTATATGGGTGTGTTCATGGGTGGTTAGGGTTAGAGTGGGCTCAAGGCACAGAGAGAAAGCAAGTGAGGTTATGGGTGAAGGAGTGGAAGGCTCTGCTCTTGGGGAGCCCTACAGACATCTCGAGCTGAGAGCCTTCAACCTGGAACTTATTTTTTCTCCCCCTGCAGCCTCTCTACCCTAACTTCCCACAATTCCCTTTGTGTTTCTGTCTCAGTGACTCCTGCCACCATCAACCCAGTTGCCCAAACCAAAAGTTTCGGTGACATCTGTAATTTCTCTTTCCTTGTCTACCACAGTCCGCTGGCCATAAGATCCAGTGGATTCCACCCAATACCACTCTCATTTGCCACGTCTCTCCACACTCATTGTCAGTGCCCTGCTCCTGGACGTGTCCTCTCTTGTCTGGAGCCCTGAAGCAGCTCCAGGCGTCTCCCTGCCTCCTCAGACCCAATCCCAATCCCAAAGAGCCGACCCTGCGAGCCTTTCCTGATGAGGTCGCGCTGCTGAAAACCCCGTGACAGCTTCTGAGCAACCTCCTTGACTTGCTTTATGAAGGCTTCTTTATTCCCGCAGCTCACTGCCGCTCTCCAGCCGTCCGTTCCAATCTGAGGCGGTCCTGCTCGCCATTGCTAGAATACACTCTCTAGTCTGTCTCTTTGCCCACGCCTCTCACCGCTTAGACTCCTCTCCCGCGCCCTTCTCACTCTCAGGTCTTCGCTTACTTCTTCCTGAATCCTCCCTGACGCCCCAAAAGCTGAGTGTCCTCGGAGCAGCAGGAAGTCCTGCCAGCTCTCTCGCCCCAGACGGTCTTGTCGCCTGGTCAAGCCTGTTGCCCCTGGGTGGCCTGGACTGGCGGCTTCTCGCCCTTGGAGCTCCAGCCACGTCGCCCGGCTCGCTTTCAGCTTCTGGAAGATTCCCGCTCCTTCTGCCCCTCACCCCTCTTCCTTTGCCACCCCGGGGGTGCCTCCCTGAGCTCCCGACCGCCTTGGATCCCGCGATCGTTCCACACGCTTAGAGCACGGGAGACAGTTTCCTTCTGGCACAGTCCGGGACTCTACGTTCAGCTGTGTCACTAAGCCGGACCTGCAGCGTGTCCCCGGGCCCGCCGCGTACCCGGCGCGCAGCAGGGGCACGGCCAGGTGAAGCCGCGAGTGGCGGAACGAGCTTCCCTCCCGGCGCGCGGGCCTGGCGGGGAGGAAGAGCCCGCGCACCGCCGCCGCCGCCGCCGCTCCCCGGGACCCCGCGGAGCCCTCAGCTCCCTTGCTTGGCGCCGGAAGCGGCCCGCCCCGCCCCCTCCCCGGGGCGCCCGACGCCTTATCTCGGCGCCTTGGGGCCGCAGGAGGAGTCGCGGGCGCGCCGGGAGGGAGGCGGCGGCGGCGGCGGCGGCATGGCCTGGGGGCCCCGGGGCGCCGGCTTCCCGCCTGGGCGCCTGCTGCCGCTCCTGCCGCTGCTCAGCCTGGCCCTCGGCGTGCCCCGAGCGCCGGGCGCGGACGGTGAGTGCAGGCGGGGAGCAGGCGCGGCGCGGGGTGCGGGGGGGCGGCGGCCCGAACTACGCCGGGCGCGCCCCGGACGCTCCTCCGCCCCTGGGCCGGGCTGGCGAGGAGCCTGGTAGCTGGGCTCAGTGGGGATCGGAGGGCGGGGCTCCGAGAAGCGGGAGGGCCTCCCGGGCGGGCTTCCCCGCCTCAGGCCCGGTCCTGGGCTGCGGGAGACAAATGCGCAGCGGCCCGGCCCGCGCCCCCGGGGGACCTGGCGCGAGTGGGGGCCGGGCGCGAGCGAGGGGAGAGGCTCTCTCCCCCCAGGAGAGCCGCGCCCGGCGCGCGAGGGCGTGGAAGGGCGTTCCGCCTGCACTGTCACGTTTCCGGCCCGGCTGTGGCTTTTCTGCGACAAATTCTTGACCCGGAGCAGTTGTCTTTCTACCTTTTAATTTTTTCCCTTTGATGAAGAGCCAGATGCTAATACGGTGAGGAAGAAGTGTAAGGAAGTTTATGGGAATAAAGCAGTTATTAAGCCACTCATTCAACAGATGAATGGTCCTTGAATAGTTTCCCTGTGAAGGATGTGAGGGCCTTGTGCTGGTCCTTACTGAGCTCATATTCTGCAGAAGACAGACAAGCAAATAAGCCATTTCTAAGCAGTTGGAGTAGTTTTTATTCCCCCTGCAGAACGCAGTGTTGAACGTGGTACGAGTTACGCAGAGGATTCAGACACGGAGGGGAGGTGGCATTTACTCAAATAACTGTAATAAAGGCAGAAGGCCATCAGTGCTCTGAAGAGGTGGGTGTTCAGAGGAGGGAAAGACTACTTCTGACCAAGGGAATCTGGTGGCCTTATAGACGAGGTGACCTTTGAACTGGGCCAACAACGATTGGTAATATTTGGATATGGGAAGAGGAGGAAAAGGCATCCCAACTCATAGCAGAGGGCACAGCAGCTCTCCACAAATATGTGTAGAATGAATGAATTCCAGGTGGAGGGGACAAAGTGAGGAACCACACGAAGGCATGAAAGCATGGGGGCTGTGTTTCAGTTTGACTGGTATGTAGGAGGTGCGTGGGAAATGGGGGGCAGAAAAGCAGATTGGATTTAATCAGCAGGCAGAGTGTTGTGATAGGCAGACCAAAGCATTTAGACTTAGTTGTTCCCAGGCAGTGAGTAGCCATTGGAAATCACTGCAGCGTTTAGTACAGGGAGTGATGTAAAAGCTGGTATAAGAAAAGCTTCCAGCTTCCTTCATAAAATGAAACACTCCTCCTGTAGTGTATGGCAAATTCTATGTAAGGAGATATGAGGGGACTTTGTGGCTCAGACTCCTGTTCCCCTCAATTCTCTTTACCTTGGGACTTTTACCATCACTGGATGGTGTTTTTCTTGACAGCCGAACCTCCTGGAGTGGCCATTTTTATACATCAGATGCTCTGGTGGGCTTTCTAACTTCCTTCTCTAACTTGGTCTCCCACGGCAGTGTGCGTAAAAGTTTGCAGATGCTTGGAGCCTATTTCAGAATCTTTGTGTTAAGACTGTAGCCTAGGAAACTGTCCACTGGGGTCCCATTGGCTTGCTGGCCTGAGATGGTTGAACAAAGTAACTACCTAAGGCCATCCATCTGCAACTGCTTAACGGCTTTGGGGTGAATTTTGGGAAATGGAAGCTGGGGTTACCTGGATGAGCCCCCTCTCCTTATGCAGGCATTTTCCCATCATTTACAACTGTGTAGAACCTGGTTTGATTAAGGGCAGGTTTCCTTGCAGTGGTCAATGTGGGAACTGACTGGATGTTTAGGGCCATTGAGGAAGTTGTAATATCTGTTCTAGAAGTTCTGAGGCCGGAAGACTGGCCCCACAGTCATGACAGCGGGAGATGAGGACTGCATGTAGGTGATAAGGTGGAAAGGGAACTGGAAGGACTTAATGACAGATGTTAAGGTGCAAAGGAACAGAAGAGGGAAGTTGGAACACTAAGGGTTTAGGACTGGGTGACTTGGGTATGTGGGTCTATGGGAGGAGAAAAAAAGGTTTTGGAAGAAAGATGCCTAGTTGTTTTGGAGACCCTGAATTTGAGGTAATGCTAGGACTTTCGGAGAGATGAAACCAACAGGGAGTTGAGACTGTGGACAGTAAGTGTGTGCAAATGATGGAGACTCGATGGTCACTTGAAGCCTTGAGGTTGATAAGAGTAAGAGGACCAAGGACAGATTCTTGGAAAGACTAAGTTCAGATGGTAGATGCACATGGAGGAGAAAGAGCAGTGGCCACATAGATTGGAGGAAGACCGGGCTAGTAGAGCATCAAGGAAATCAGGGGAAGGGGAGCCAAGTGAGTGGAGACTGAGAACAAGGCTTTGGATTTGGTGACTCTGTCAGTGGAAGCCAGAGCTAGCAGAGCAGTGAGGGTGAGAGCCAGATGCAGAGGGCTCAAGTGAGTGCAGGACTTTGGCTGCAGAGTAGATATTCTTTAAAGAAGATAGAAGATAGAAGGAAAGAGAAGATAGCATTCAGTTGGGCTGGCCAGATCAGTGCAAGAAATTTTTTTGCTGGGGGCAGTGGTAAAGCAGACTCCAGCACGAATGAGGGGAATTATTGGGTAGAGGGAGAAACTGAAAATGGAAAAATAAAGGAGATATTTATTGGAGCAGGTCAAAAAGCAAAGTTGGTCTACAGGTGGGAAAGCTCGATAGGGAGAGGGGAGGGAAGGAGCAGAATGGAGAACAGCTCTTCCCTTCCCCCACAGCTAGCTACTTAGTGCTGTTCATTTTTCAAAAGCAGCCCAGTTGTCCTCCCTCCTGGAGGCCCCTCTGTACCGTATTACATGGGCCACTACACACTTACATACATATTTATAAGGTACCCTTGCTCTACACCATATTGCAATGTAATTGTTTACTAGACTAAGAGCTCCTTGTGCGTAGGGACTGTGGCTTGTATTAGGAATCTGGTATGGAAATAAATGAAGACCACTCAAATAAGAACAGGCAAAGGCTGTTTATTCAGAGCTTGCTCTAGCAAAAGAGTCAGTGATCATCATTTACATTTGTCAGAGACTCACAGGCAGGCCGGGGAGTGTAAAAACTTTACAGTGGAACAGAAAGGAAGGTTTCAGGTATGCCTGGGTTGGTTGGAGGATGTTGCCATGGGGAAGCTGGAGATAGCTTCTCTCTGACAGTAGGCATCTCGTGTGATTGGTTAGGGGAGTGTATCTGGCTTTCTCTGATTGGTCCTAAGTTTGAAGCGTGGGCAAAAATTATGGAAGCTGTCCAATATTGATTAAATCCTGACCACTTGGGACTTATTGCTACAGAGGTTGCGGTTTGACTTCCTAGACCGATGGCTGCAGATTGTGGGTCAGAGTTCTATTTTTATGTGTGGTCTGGGGTTGTCCATTTGTATATTCAGTCTCTCACGGTAACATTGCTGAATTACATTTAATTGTTATCCAAGACGTTTCAGGGAGGAGAAAGCGGGGGAGCCAAAGTCAGGTGGCCTGAGTGAGAGGGAAGTGTGAAGTGGTAGTTGGTAGAGCAGGAGGGTGTTGGTGGCGGGCACGGTGCCAAGCCCTAGGGGAACAGAGAGCTTAGGAATGGGCCAGGAGGGCTGGAACCAGTCAGTCCTGTTTCTTAACCTTTTCCTGGCATTGCTCTGAGTCTGGGAGTGGCTGGGGTTTGGGAAGGCCAGAGGGTGGGCAGAGGGCGGGCAGAGGCCTTCAGAGGCGTGGGGAGCGGTGGTAGAGAGGGTTGGGGAAGTTGTTACTGTGTAAAGTACACCTGACTTCCTGAATCGTGCATTCCATGGGCTTGGTCTTCACTCCGTCATCATGAATCACAGCAGCGTATTCCCTGTTCAGAGTGAGGAAGAGGAGGAAAGAAGGGAAACGGAGCGGGTGTGTGGTTTTGGAGTGACTTACAGTTGCTCAAAGTAATGTAGCAGGATAAGAGCCAATGAAGACGATTCCCGCCACGGCCTGTGTTCCCCCTCCAAGGACTTGGCCCTGAGCACATCCTCAGCTTCTGGTCAAATCCTAAAATGGGCTCCTAGGTCTCTGCAGCCAAAGGTGGCAAGAGGCCTATTGGCCTTAGCTCTGCAGAGGAGACAGGGGTGTTGAATTGCATGGATCTTAAAAAAAAAAAAAAGGTATTCAGCTTGCTCGAGAATGTGGGGCAGCCTGTTCACGTGTGACATTCAGGACATAAACCTAGGGTGTGACTGCTTTGCTCAGAGCTCAAAAGCATTGACATTGGGGTGCTCGGCATGGGTTGGTTCCTAGTCTGGAGGCCAGGTGTGGGACCCCCTCTGCAAGTTGGTCTTGGTCAAACAGGAAAATGGTCAGAAGAGGGCAAAAGAGCAAAAGCAGCTGCGGGCTGATAACCGTTTTACACCAGGAAAGGTTCTGGGTTCCTGATGGGGAATGGCAGCCCCGGGTTGGGGAGAAGGGAACTGGATGATGGTTCCCACTGCCCCACAAGGATCATACTGCTTGAAAGAGTAGCGTGCTCTCTGTCTTGGCAGATTTTTATTTTATTTTATTTTTTATTATTATTTCAAAAATATTTTATTTATTTTATTTTTGGATGCATCGTGTCAGTTGCGGCATGCGGGATCTTTCGTTGTGGTGCGCAGGCTTCTCCTTGCAGTGCGTGGGCTTCTCTCTAGTTGTGGCGGGTAGGCTCAGTAGTTGTGGCACAGGCTTAGTTGCCCCACGGCATGTGGGATCTTAGTTCCCTAACCAGGGGTGGAACCCACGTGCCCTGCATTGGAAGGCGGATTCTTTACCACTGGACCACCATGGAAGTCCTTTGGCGGATTTTTAAAGCACAGGCTATGTTTTTGTTTTTTTCTGTGAGGGATGTTGGAGAGGAGGTCTCTCAGGTTCCTTCTGTTTCTGGAATTTGATGCCGTCTCTTACAAGCAATGCAATTTTCCATAGTGTTGCAGAAGACTTGGGAATGCTTTCTCTTCCTGAGCTTTGCGCCCCTTTGCTTATGTCCTCAGGTCATTGGTGAATGTGGCAGCCTGTTCACGTGTGACATTCAGGACATAAACCTAGGGTGTGACTGCTTTGCTCAGAGCTCAAAAGCATTGACATTGGGGTGCTCGGCATGGGTTGGTTCCTAGTCTGGAGGCCAGGTGTGGGACCCCCTCTGCAAGTTGGTCTTGGTCAAACAGGAAAATGGTCAGAAGAGGGCAAAAGAGCAAAAGCAGCTGCGGGCTGATAACCGTTTTACACCAGGAAAGGTTCTGGGTTCCTGATGGGGAATGGCAGCCCCGGGTTGGGGAGAAGGGAACTGGATGATGGTTCCCACTGCCCCACAAGGATCATACTGCTTGAAAGAGTAGCGTGCTCTCTGTCTTGGCAGATTTTTATTTTATTTTATTTTTTATTATTATTTCAAAAATATTTTATTTATTTTATTTTTGGATGCATCGTGTCAGTTGCGGCATGCGGGATCTTTCGTTGTGGTGCGCAGGCTTCTCCTTGCAGTGCGTGGGCTTCTCTCTAGTTGTGGCGGGTAGGCTCAGTAGTTGTGGCACAGGCTTAGTTGCCCCACGGCATGTGGGATCTTAGTTCCCTAACCAGGGGTGGAACCCACGTGCCCTGCATTGGAAGGCGGATTCTTTACCACTGGACCACCATGGAAGTCCTTTGGCGGATTTTTAAAGCACAGGCTATGTTTTTGTTTTTTTCTGTGAGGGATGTTGGAGAGGAGGTCTCTCAGGTTCCTTCTGTTTCTGGAATTTGATGCCGTCTCTTACAAGCAATGCAATTTTCCATAGTGTTGCAGAAGACTTGGGAATGCTTTCTCTTCCTGAGCTTTGCGCCCCTTTGCTTATGTCCTCAGGTCATTGGATCTGTTTCCACATGTCTCCACGAGTTTGAGAGACAGGGTCTCAGGAAGGCTGTGCAGTGGGCTTGTTTGGTCTGACCGTGAATGGCTGGGGATGAGATTAAGATTTGAATTCATGCACTCTATTTGTGCTTTTAACACTTCCTTCTTCCCTTGACAGTGGACAAAATCTCTTCACTGTTTTGTCACAGTCCAGCTGCTGTTATTTCAAGAGTGCATGTAAGTTGTTGCTTGAGTATTGAAATACAGAGCGAGAGGAGCAGTCTCAGGCTGGCAGCCTCCACTCCATCCCGATGGCGAGGTTTACCTGGTGTGGGGGGGGGAGAACAGACTTGTGGTTGCCAAGGGGGAGGGGAGGGGAGGGAGGGGTGAGCAGGGCTGAAAGGGTGAGGAAGCTGAATTTCCAACTTCTGAGTCAGGCATTACCCAGAAGGCTGGGAGGATGTGGAGGAAGCAAGGAGTCATCATGGAAATGAAGGTATTATGGTTCCCAGAATATCAGCCCCATGAATAGTTGGGCATCTGTCCACACAGCGATGTTGCTTTGGGTTTTTGCATCAATGCAGCTCTCCATCGCTCTCTTCGTTAGTATAATTGGGAGCTGGCTAGCTGTCACTACCTTCATTTACTCATTAACAAAGAGCTGTTGAGTGGTTGTATTAATAATGTCTCACATTCTAATTGCTTTATGCGTATTAACTCATTTACTCTTTAATCCTCAAAACAACCATATGAGGTAGGTTTATTATCATCCTCATATTACAGATTTACAGGAAACGGAGGCACAGAGATTATCAAGGATTACCAAGCTAGCAAGTGGCCAAGCTAGGATTGTAGCCCAAGTGATCTCTCTCTCTCTCAACCCTGCTCTGAACCAGTGTGTCTCCTACCAGGCACTGCATCATGCATGACTTGTTTCTAACAACAATAACAATATCTATGGAAAGAGACATAGATATTCATGTAAATGAGCTCTTTGTCTAGTGCTTTGAGCTCATACAGCATTTATATTTCTCATTTAATCTTCGCAACACGATCTCCGTCCTACAGATTAAAACCAGAGCTCTGACAGTTTCATTTGCCTTCGATCACGTAGTTAGGGAACAAGAGAGAAGACTCCAACTGAGGTCGAGACACCAAAACCTGTCTGGTCCTCTCATTGTTGGATGTGGATTTAGCTGGCTTAGTCACTACAGGGTAGAGAAGGGAAGTGAATCTAGGAGCAACCCTCAGCAACCCTCAGCTGGGGGACACAATAATAGTAACAAAGAGTACTTGTCAGGCTATTCCTCCTAGATTTTTGGAGTCCGCACTCTCCTGTTTCTCTGCCAGTAATTCTAGGCATCCCTAGGGCAAGGGGAAGAGGGGGATCCCTCGCCCCTGTAGTGGTCCCCTCAGTTACTGTGTGGCAGCCACCTCTCTGCTCTCCTGAGCAGAATCTGCTGAAGACAGAAGTCAAGTCATCCTTGGCTTGGATGTGAAGCTGCTGCCTGACACAGTTCCACCCCCAGGTTATAAGGAAGGCACAGTGGTCTTGACACAGGCCTGGAGAATTCTTCTCCATTGGGTTATTCTCTCTGTCACATTGGTCCCATAGCTATGCTGTGCCTCAGTCTAGACTTGGTGAAAGATGTCTTCGGTATTACTTTTTCTTTCCCCAGGATTCTGACATAAGTCCTTGAGATTGAGGGAGACTTTCAGTGTTGCTGGTAGTGCGGTACATCTGGAATCTTCTTAGAAATGCAGATTCCCAGGCCACCACTCACACCTACTGAATCAAACTCTCTGGGGATTCTGTTTTAACAAGCTCTCCAAGTAGGGTGATCAACTGTCTTGGTTTGCACTGAACTGAGGGGTTTCCTGGGACAGGGGACTTTTAGTATTAAAACTGAGTTGAATTGGTTACTCTGTCTCCAGTGATTGTATGTGTGTGTGTGTGTGTGTGTGTGTGTGTGTGTGTGAGAGAGAGAGAGAGAGAGAGAGACAACAGATGTTTGTTGTTTTAAGTTGCTAAGTTTTGGAGTAATTCATTATGTAGCAGTAAAAAACTATAAACTAGAAAGGAATAAATATGTAATTAATGTCTGCAAAATTTACAATTGTTGCAAAATTGCTTTGTAGACTAGTTGTATAGATTTATGCTCTTCTCAGTGATTCTTAACTGAGCTTTTGACCAATGGACACTATTGTGTGGTCAGAAGCAGCCCCCAACCCTACCCCAGCCCCTGCCTTTCCTTGTATTGAGGTTGTGCTTCCTACCCCAGCTTTTTTTCCCCCAGAAGTCAACTTTGTCCCTCAAGCAGTTAGAACTCAGAGGGCCTCCCTATTAGGCCCTGCAGACTGGGCTAATCATGGCTGAATAAGAAGCTTCAGCTGAGGTCCCCCTACCTCTGGAAACCACTTTCTCATCTGTGGGTGGTCTGGGAAGCCTTTGGTAGACTGGCACACATCTTGTCTTTTTCGCCAGTATGGGAAACAGACATTTATTGAGGGCTTCCCTGGTGGCGCAGGGGTTGAGAGTCCGCCTGCCGATGCAGGGGACACGGGTTCGTGCCCCGGTCCAGGAAGATCCCACATGCCGCGGAGTGGCTGGACCCGTGAGCCATGGCCGCTGAGCCTGTGTGTCCGGAGCCTGTGCTCCGCAACGGGAGAGGCTACAACAGTGAGAGACCTGCGTACAGCAAAAACAAAAACAAAAACAAAAACAAAAAACCAAGCATGGTTAAGAGAATTTATATATATCCCTTTCTCAGTTGGTTTCATGCCTAGAGCAGCCTGTGACCTAAGTCTTTATTACCTGGGTGGTAATGGGGCCAAGACTAAGATGAAATTCCATGCTGATATGTTCTCCTTACTAGGCCACGCCTGATATTACAGACACTGGGAGTGCAACACAGTATCCCACATAGCCTCGGGTAGAAATTCGTGTTTGATCTTGGGCCATGTATCACCATCTGGTAGATTTGAATGTTTCAGGAATTTTAGCCCCAAACATTTTTCTGCTTATCTAAATAATTGGGATCTGGTCATCCTGCTGGGACCTGGCTGTTATCTCACTGACATTTTAAACACATTCACCACTGTTTCCCTAGAAGGAAAATGGATAGGGCAATAGACGAGTTCTTTTTCCTTCCATTTGCTTTTTAAGTTGTAGGCAGTAGGACTGCAGTTTCCTTTATCCAGTTGGTCAGTAAAAATACACTGAATGTTTATACCATGCCATAATGATGTATGGGCAAATGACATAATCCCTGTCCTTGAGACGCTCGTTCATAATAGCAAGCTGGGAAGACAGAGGTGGAATAGAATATACTGACAAATTAATATGGTTGATATGGAAATGTACAAGTGTTGGGGCACACAGAGGAAGATTTAATTTTCCTCAAGAATGGAGGAATGCGGAAGACCTTAGGGAGAGCGTGATGATTATACTGGGTCTTGAAATAGGAATAGGTGCTAGTTGGACAGAGAAGGAAAGATAGGCATTCTAGACAAAGGGAACATCATGGCTATGGCATGACATAAGACAGTGGATAGCATGTATGTATGGGGAAGAGGACC